GGCTTTGGTAAGCACCTTCTTTGCCTCTTTCACTGTTGACCCAGCCTTCCCATTTGATTGGCTGTGATACGGGCTGATGAACTGATGCCGAAAATCCTACTTCTTGCTAAAAACGCGGTATTCTGCATTACTGAATTACTGCCGGTTATCGGCAATCACTACCTCGGCTATTCCATGCCGAGCGAATTGACACTTTGTTCAATACGGATTGCGCGCAGGTTGACCTAACGGCATCGATCTCGAAGTAGTCACTGATATAACCTACCACAATCAACTGGCTCTTCCGGTCGTGAACAAAAATGTCCACTGCGACTATCTACCAGGGCCCATCCAGAATGGCACAAAGCATCGTCGGTCCCTTCGGCTGGCGCACATCGTGTGTAATACGTAATCACCTAGTTGACTAGTCATTTCAGGCCAGAACATCAGCCCACGTGCTCTTGCCACGCAATTGTTGATTCCCAAATATGCCTAGTGTACCATCTGCAATACTGAAAGTTGCAATGCCTTCGGAACCACCCTCCTGTTGCCCTTGAATATTAATCCGTCTTTGGTGATGAGTTCGTTGCGAAAATGATAGAACGGAGTTAACACTTTGGGCAATATTTTCTTGTCTTCGGGCTACCCGTCTAGCATAGTCTGCCTCAGTAGCTTGCACTGTTCGTCCTTCTCTGTGCACTGTTGGAGCTGCTGGAAACCTTCCTTAGTGACTGTGATTAGTTGTGTTGCGTCGAAAAAAATCCGGGTCTTCTTCCGGTTGCGGTGTGTGTGACTGGTGCGCCCTTGACCACGTGCCTGCAATATACATCTGGAATCCTGGTAGGTAGAATATCTCCAAGTCATACTTCTGCAGACGAATGAGCATCCTTTGCAGGCGGCGTGGAACGATATTGATGAATACAAGTGGCTTGTGGTCAGTGAAGACAGCTGTTTTGCGGCCGAACGTTTAACCGTTGAAGCTTTCTACAGCGTAAACTAATGCCAGCATTTCCTTTTCGATTCGTGCGTACCGACGCTCGGCTTCTGTGAACGTGCGACTGCGAAAAGCGACAGGCTTACCGCTTCGCATAAGCACAGGACCAATACCGTACTTTCACACTGAATCTCGATTGGAAGCGACGGATCAAAGTAGGCAAGAACAAGAGCTTTTGTACTTAATTCTTTGATCATCCTAAAGGCATTTTCATGTTCAGAGCTCCTGTGCTAAGCTTCACCCTCATGGGACAAGTTTCGAATCAGTAGCATCACGTCGGCCAGTCGTGGAAGGAAACGGCTCCACTAGTTGACCACTCAGTCTAGCATGCTAACCGTCTTCGCATCTGTGGGAAGACACATCTCGTTCATGGCCCTGATTTTTGCTGGATCCAGTTGCAACCCTGTTGAACTCAACACGTACCCATGAAATGCCACCCGCTTTGCGTAGCTCGACTTTCGCACTCGTTAGTTTGATGTTTCTTTCACTACAGCGTTGTAGAAACTGGTGAAGGTGACGATCATGTTCCTCTCTAGTAGTACCAAAAACTAGCACGTCATCTGCGGCACAAAAGACTCGGGCCAGATTGTGCAATGCTTGCAGCAGCCGCTTCTGCAATACTAACTGGATACCTTCAAACCGAAGGGCAAAGGAAGCCACCTAAAACGTCCAAAAGGCGTTCCAAATGTATTCAAATTGCTAGACTCTTCGTCAAGCGCTAGGTGCCAGAAGACTGAAGTGAGGTCGACTTTCGTGAATTTAGCAATAACTCATCGAACACGGCAGGATACCAATCAACAATGTCTGCAGCAGCCTGACACGAGTAAAGAAAACGATCACGATTACATGAAATAAAATCAAATTGCTGGGTGGTATTAATGCCCAACCTGGGCATAAGGTCTGCTGACACAGCCAGGAATTCAAGTTGGCGTTTCGTTCCGTCCTTCGGGTTGACAACGGTCACGATATCGTTTCCTTTCGGTTGTAATCTCGAGCCGCTCCACATTTTGAGACGAGTAGGTGCTTCAGTGCACTTTACTCCCGCACAATGTCTCTCGGGCAGTACGTAGATGTTGGCTCCTGAAACGAGCTGAAAGTGAACGTGACGTCCTTGAATTAACAATGTTGGAAAAATGCAATTATGCCCTCCAAAATCCTTCATGTTGTTTATTGAGAGCTCCCGTGTGTCGTGTTGACTTCCCTTGTCTACCGTTCGCCGATCTGTAGCAACGTGCGAAATGGGTTTTTTGTATATTTCATACAGGTCTTACCCCAAGCTGGATAACTCTGCTTTCGTCTTGGACGCTTCCGACTACAGAAATAACAGCTGGCCTCCTACCCCTCGTATGACAGGGATAGCGCTTCCTTGCTCTTCGATACTACACAAAGCCCTTCTGTCGTACTTGCACGCAAATTCTGGAGTTGTTATGATGTTCTTGTTTCGCTAAGGCACATGCACACACACTGATTTAGGGACAGGTTTCTCTGCCTCAGAAGGCGTCGAGTGAGGTCGTCATTTCCGATGCCGATTACGATGCGGTCGCGTACCAGAGAGTCCCGCATACATTTACAGAAGTTGCAAATTCGAGCCAGAAGTTTGAATTCTGTAATGTAGATCTCGACTGATTCATTCGGGAGGCGGTTGCGACCAACAAACTGATAGCGTTGGTCCGTTTCATTTGCTTAATCTTCGTAATATTCACCAAATCGTTTGCTTATCTTCGAGATGCCCGGCTCCTGCTCATCCACATCACTGAGAGCAAAAGTCTCAAGTACTCGTCTGGTCTCACCATCAATAGCGAGTCTGAACTTAGCAAGCTGGTCAGGCATCGGATAGGAATCCAACTGAGTCAGCGTGACGAAATCCCTCCACTTCGCCTGCCACATTCTCCAGTTGTCAGGTAGCGTGCTTTCCGTCATCTGTAGAACAGTCGGCAATAGGATCGACAGCTGTCCACCAAAAACGAGCGGCGTCCCGCTCATGAACTTCATTTCCCTTGTCACCATGTTGCGTGCCAGCCGAGTTAAGAGAAACGAGAAACACACGGTCTCAGCACACATGAGTTCTATTCACAAATCTGAGGTAATACACAAGTAACTGTAATTTTAAAAACTCACCCGCCCACTCTATCGGTCGCCTGATCAACCAAACTGGGGTAAGCAATGCCCTTCGCCCCAGCTTTCAGCCACCAACACATAACGGATGCATCAGAACCAAAAGCAACGCAGTGGATTTATCGACCCAACTCCATAGTTTGTAGATAATTTGGAACGACGCACAGTGTTGAACAGGAATGACGGGCCGGGAGGGTATACGACTGAAGATCAATGCCGCGTTTGAGCTGCTCTACAGTGTTGGCTTCACGTGACGTGTAGGTCAGGTCAGGTATAACGAGGGTCCTGTTTCTTGTGCCGTTAAATGAGGCGGGCCCCGACACTTCGACGTAGGATTGACTCTTCTCGATTCTGCAATGGTATGAAGTAAAGACAAGAGTCAACCTGATGCAGTGTCAATACATACTGGACAAATGTAGGCAAAGTTTAGGACCTCCTACACGAACGGAACGTCCTCCCGTTCTAGCCGTACCTTAGAAGTCAGTCCACACGAGGATGAACCGAGTTCAACATGTTTCTACGCAAGCCCGACCTAGGGATGAATGTGGCTTTGAGCAAGGGGTCTGGACAATTATCCTACAGACAAGCATCAGGAGTACACCGACCCTCCATTACCATACAAGTGCTTGCGTCCGCATGCTAACTGGGATAATGAAGGATCCTCCGCAGCAACATGGGCTCTGAGAAGTGACCCGTGGATCACAAACGAATCGATCTAGTCACTGTATCATCGGCCAGATGACCTATGGACGAGGTAACCATCGAATAAACCAGAGTTGATCAAACTATCTTACTCCCCTGCATTTGCAGTGCTGTGTAGTTCGAACTTGTAGCGATTTGTATTAAGTGTTAAGCCACTAGAGTCACCAGGTGCAAAATATCATTGTGCATGTATTAAACTGTAGCGTTTCCGATCCGAGTTTTTAGCCGACTGTCCCAAATAAGTGTAGCGAATGCCGGAGAAGTTTACCACCTGAACGAGTGCAGTCAAGAACAGAGAGTGAGTTTACCTGCAATCAAACCACGCAACACAAGCATCTTGGTTGACCTCAATTGTCGCAATAAAGAAGATTACGGGTCCACATAACCTCTCTTACTAGCAAGGGCTGAAGCTACTGGAAGTTTTCAGCGAACGCTTCCGACAGCTACGCGATCTCATATTGATTTATAGATATTGAGTGACCCAAATCACATAAGCCACGACACCAACCTCAGATAATTGACTGAGGGTGCGTGAGCAATACATTAATCAAGAATGCCGACAGAAAATACCTTTTCTTTCGGATTTGTCAACTCTCGAACCCTCCAAATCTATCGTTTCCTCCCTCATTTTGGATGACTTCAGAAAACGATTGGATATTGCTCTTAGCTCCCATCGCTTCGTTACAGAAACCGGACTGTTGTGGCATACTTTTTTGTTTTACTCATATCGGATTTATATACTACATAAATACAAAGAAGCGGGACGTGATTGAAGCTTTTATCGCCATTTTCTTACTGGAAACCTTAGCCATAACTGAGACTCACATGCTTACATTTAATTACCATCACCTTATCTCTATGCCGTGCCACATTTGAAGCGGTAGGTGCTGCGCTTAGACTAATGATGCGCATATCTCTTGATGCTGTGATTTTCACCCTATCACTCTACGGGACTTTCGAGGCGCTTGCCCCTGTTACATTGGTGCTCCTCATTCATTTTCCATCGATTTTATAGCTATCCGCGTCGATAACATAGATTGCTGTTAACTAGGCAAACTGCCATTGTCTATACGAAATCGACCTCATGGATTTGAATAGAAGGTTTAACTATACTAGTCTCTGCACTATACTATACTATACGCAATCATACTACAAATATTGCTCTTCCGCATGTTCTCTCAAAATGTTCCTTATCAACCTTCTGTTACAGTGCCGACGAACGTCTCCAGGAGGCCAGAGAGGCTGGTTTGGTGGTGTACAGCGATGGAAACATTCTTTGGCAGCAGCAGGCGCTGTTCAAAAGCACTTGTCAGGTGGAAATAACCTACTTCCCATTTGACAGCCAAGTACGTCACTCATCCAACTCTCTCAGAGCAATGCATGCAATTTTTATGACGATTAACCAAGTTTAACTCGGAGCCACGATAATACGCGCCAGTTGCGACCTACAAAATAGTTTGCTTCTGTGTCCATTGTCACCGCCTTACCCTTTTGCCGTAGCTACGATTGGACATATGAAGAGGCACAAAAGCAAAGGAGTTTCGTAGCTTCGAGAGCAGTCTGACGGTACCACCGCCGCATGGGTTACGCAACTCCCTGGAAGCCTTACGATGACACAAGCGGTTTACCGTTGGGATGTCATTGGCTAAAATCCAAGTTTTTACCTAACCCAACTTCTCTTAGCGAAAGTTCCTTTTAATGAATATGATGAAACACCGAATCTGAGTAGACATCATGCATTGGCAACGACCGAAGTAGCTCGGTTGAGGAGTCCTCAGAAATTATATGCTCTGTACAAGGGCGATCCGCGCCATCACTCTTATAGATGGACATCGGGGCAATGTGCATGCTGTCTTATCACTCGTGTTGATGATTATTTCAATAGTGTGTTCGATCGTCAGCTCGGATGCACGATGCTGTGCACCCAAGCGGAAAGATGCAGCTGCTGCAGCTCGACTAGCTGTCAAACTGTCGTTACGTGCTGTAATGTCACTCCAGTGCACTCCTCCTTTAGACAGGTAACGCAGCAATAGTCCAGAGTAGAAAATCGGTCAAGTCAAATGAAGATCATCATCACCATTATCAGTGCACTTTAGCTGGAGGTGGAAAACACTTCAGCTATTGTGCCGCAATACAAAAGACAAGAAAAGGAAAACAAACAGTGGCACGCCAGCTGAGTCCCCAGTAACGGATGGACATCGTTCCGGAGAGCTAACAGCTGGCTGCCGTAAAAGAGAGTCATATTATGCCTAACAAGTGAGATCGTGATTGGAGGGGGATGCCAAGCAGGAGGGGGATGGACAAAGAAACTCACAACACAAACGCCATTGGGTCCGGCTCCAAGCCATATCAGCAAGTGTGTCCAACCAAACGTGTTCACCGTCCTTAGGACCCCAGCCAGGCAGTCGGTATGCACCAACCGACGCCAACTTCGAAGTAAGGGTTTTCATTTCTCTCGACCAAGTCATCACTTGGCCTCCCCTCCTCCTCTTCCAACCGCACCCACAACGCGCAAACAATGCACGTCGCGGAGGTCGGTGTACTGGCATGCGCAATACGTGGCCCAGCCATCGGGGCCTGGTGCGTGATATAATGGTGCTGAGCGATTCACTCGCTCTTCCTGCACCAAATACGCGACGCCAGGCACGCTCATTTCTCACGCGGTGCTCCCACCAGACATGAGCTAAGCTGCGAAGACAAGGATGATCGAATATGACGAGCCTCTTTATGTCTGTCGACCTGATGGACCAGGTTTCACAACCATACTGGAGAGTTGAACGGACGGCAGCGTTATAAACTCTGCCATTCAGGACGACAGTAATGTCGCTTCTGCGCGTCAAATGAAGCTAGACTTTATGTATCCGAATTGGTACACTTTCAGCGTTCTATACCAACGCTGTGAATGTACTGAGATTTGAAATCAATTTAAAATCACTAGCAAAGATCGAAAAGCAAACTATATACATATTTCAGGCAAGTAAGCGTTCACATGTAGCGTAGACTTTCTTAGGGTCCGGTAGAAAACGTGATAAATACAGTATGCTGGAGTCGCAATAAGACGCAGCGCGAGAAAACAAGCTTAAACTTTAAGCGCACAAACGAAAAGACAAATTTTGTGATACATCGCTGTGCAAGGTGTGGAAAGAAGCATTTAAGATCTTTAATGTATAGTTGTCACACGCGCCGTACTGTTTGGTAACAATGGAATCTACCAGGCTCTTTAGGCAGACCACTGCACCTGGAGATGAACTACTTGGAAAGTACAGTCAACCGTAAGTCTGCTTTAGTGAGTCAGGGAAAATGATAGGTGTGAACAGTACAATCATTGAGTAAGAGTATAGGCGGTCAGATAAATTATAATCTGTACAACAGGGTACTGAAGAGATTTCGCGTCTAATGGCATGTAGCATGTAGCCCCAACGAGGGTTGGCCACAGTAGACGTTAAGAATACATCAAGGCACTTAACAGTGGGTGAACTGCATGTGATTTGCTCGCTCCTGACCAACGGGCGAGAAGTATCTGTCTAAACCCGAAAATTTTCAGCGCGCAGGACAGAGAATGTTACCTCCCGGTATTTGGAAGCTTTGAGAGTAGGGGACCATGACGCCGACCATCCTTCAAGGTCATCCGACCCGCTTTTGAGCGCCGAGGAATCTTACGACCTATGGTCCAAATCATAGACGAAAAAGAACTGTCCGGCTCAAAATACGCCGGTCATCAGGTACAGTTGTGGGCTTTTATCGCTTATCCGGTCGAAAGAAGAGCGATTTGTGAACTAGTTGTTCATCAGGTTGTACATCATTAGTTGAATATCATTCGCAGGCAGCAGACTGAGCAGAGTCGGTCTATTGATGTTTATAAACGCGTTAGAATAAACAAAAAAGCTGTATGTTTGACGGCATCCGTATCCAGATTTGCCTGTCACTGTGGCCTCCATGGGGACAGCCACAGGACGCCTGCGCCTACAAAGGGGACCATGGGTGGCTTGCACTGCACCACCCACAGTTTCGATCACACATGCCATATCCAACGTAAACCCGAAGGAATGAGAGCTGGAGAAATGTGGATGGGAGTCACGTTTCATCAACGGAGTTGGCTCTCAGTCTTTCTACATGTACTGTAGCAGCATTCCAGTCAGTCTAATTGGGGAATCATGCGTACCAGTCGTACACAAGGTAGTGATAGGGTCGTAGTTCGCTCCTCAGTGGATGGAAGCACTCTTTGAGCTCAGCACCAGCACAAGAATCGTGCACCCCGTCCCCCAGAAACCATTAGCCATGTCCTGGAGCCAGTAATCGAGGTGGAGATTGTTAGACATAGAGGCAACTTGTCGATCTTCACATCAAGCACAGCCATACTGGGGGATATTAATCAAAAGCGAACACCTGAAATGTACAGAAACGCAACACTCAGGCACACTTACATACTAATTGTAGCGACGTACCACGTCAACCGTCTTATTGGCCTTGATTGCTAAATTGAATCGGAAACAGCGTGATTACCAAGTGCTGCGCTGATAATGATAACCAATTCAGCTGACTCGTCGCCTCTTCGAGGTTGAACATGCATGGACACGCTGGTGGTTTACTGAGCCGACTTGGCTCAAGCACCCGTGATCACATGTGTTACAGTACCATGCGCTCAGCGTATATTGGTCATCTTCCATCGACGCCTGCTATTTCCTTACCCGGCGTTTCTTTTCGCATGTAGCAGTGATCTCTCATGCCCTCCAGCAACCGCCGTCTCGATAAGTTCACGCCACTAGCCCCGATTACTTGCCATTGACTCAAATCACCTGAATGCAACATTACTTTTCGGTAAACTCACTTTGATCATTTCATGATAACGCAAGTTCCGGCTTCCTTACCTGCCGGTTCCCTGCATGTAGTTGGCCATAAACCAGCTGTTTTGGTATTCGGGTCGAATCCATGCGACAAACGTGCTCGAGCTACCTCAGGTGCCGCAGAATATTTATGCAGTCCACTGCATGCATGTCAATGCGGTGGAGCACCACCGAGTCAGCAATTTGGTCACCCCGGCTGATGCGCATACACACGACGTACATACTGTGCTTGAAATCACTCCAGTCATCTACCGCCCTTCCGGTACGTCGTTCACGTTTCGCTGCCGTATAGAAGAAGGACCTGGACCAGAAATTTGTACACCATCAGCTGCGCTCCAACAGTTAGCTGTTGATTCCTCCACACAACATATTCCAGTTTGCGAAATGCAACAACCGCCTTTGACATGCAGATGCGAAACTCGCTCGTCCTCTGCAGGTCGGTTGATGGTAAGCTCCCTAGGTAGCAAATTTTTGATGTGCTTTCCAACACGTCACCGGTAACCTCGATTTGGGCAGACCCACTGATTCCATTGCTAGTGAAAGCTGGAAAAGACAATCAGTTTTGCTCCTGCTGATTGTGAGTCTGAATTTGGCCGCTGTCGAAACCAAGGCAATAGTCATGCGCTGCAACCCATCCTCGCTGTGTGCAAACAACGCACAGTCGTTAGCAAACAGCAACACGCGGATAGTTGTTTCACAGATTAGGGTTCTCGCTCCGAAACGACGGATGTTTAGCAACCCACCAGCAACACGGTGCTTCACACGGACACTGTAATCACAAGCAGCATCAAAAGTACAAGCCATCAGTACATGAAGGTAAATATTACACAGGACAGGGGCTAAGACAGTCTTGCTTCACACCAGAGATAAGATTATGGTCATCCAAGTTATTTCCACAGAGCTAAACCTTGCCCGCACACCACTGTGCAGACATTCTATTGAAATTACCAACTTAAACAACCAAACTTACCCAAAGCCAACCACAGTGCTTCGCCGTTTACCGCGTGAAATGCCTTGTTGAAGTCAGCAAACCGCGAGTGCAGTGGTCGGTATCGTTCTCGGCATTTTTCTTGCAAATAGCAAGCTGCGAATACCATTTCTATGGTGCTGCAGCCCAACCGGAATCCAGAGTGCTCTTCTGTCACGAGAGACGATGTTGTTCAGCGGTGTTAAGGCATCTCTTTTCTACTACAACTCAACAACTTGGTGTCAAGATAATTCTCACAAAATCCCTTGCGCTCTTCGCTCTTTAACAGTGGTAGCACAAGGATATCTTTCAAGTTAGCCGACAGCTCTAAAACAATCCACACGCGTTGCACCAAGTGGCGCGGCGCATCTATCAACGCGTATGCACCGTGTTTCAACGCTTCTGGCCCTCTCTCGTTGGCTCTGGCGTTTCGCAGCCGAGCAAGTGCTCTCTCCATCCTCCGCGGTGTCGATGTGCCTGTAAGATACACTATCATCATTTGTAGTTGCAGTTCATGCAACGTAGCCCATGCAACCTCCGAAAGGTTGCTCAATAGACAGTAGAACAGCTTACACCAGCTCTGCATTATGACGACAGTATGTGTGCAGGCAGCGCATGCGCTACCTTAGTGTCATCATCCGCTGCAGCCTGGGTCCATACAACACCTTTAAGAACTCATTATGTTGGCGGTATGTGACGTGGCACTCCACCCGCACTCTTGTTGCGAGGAGGCTCACGAGTCGATCGTTGTCGGAGTTTGGGAAAATGGCTCTCTTTCTCCTAGTTGGCAGGGTCCGCCACATGTGCAGCATTCTTCTCAGACACCAATGTGCCATTGGTTGCATTGTTGTCGTCCAATCAATCGGGCCACTTACAGTTCGCAAGCCCGATCGTTTCTTCGGCTGCAACAGTCCCATGTTCACGGATGTGGCACCACAGACCACCGACTGATGCGATTCAATCGCCATCGCAAACGCTCGTAGCCATCACCTTCTCCAGTACCATCCTCTTCTCCGCCGTACCTAGGGGAAGAACGTTGTGTTTCCGCCGGTTCACAGCAAGTGGGCGATACATAGATTCACGAAAATATACATAGAGTTTGCTCCGCACCAAATTGATCAGTGCCACACTCAGCTACTGCAGTACACGTGTCATGCGCACTTCACACATATCACGCTGACTTACGACGAGATAGTCGAACAGGTGAGCGTGAACACTTCGTGGGTGCGTCCAAGTTGCAATATCACTCGCACTCACTGCAAACCGAGTGTTTGTGATCGTCAGGCCGTGAGTGGCACACAGTGAGAGCAGCCTGTCATCGTTCGCATTCGCTGAACCAATGCTATGCGGACCGATAACATCTGTCCACACCGATGCATCACGCCCAACGCGCGAGTTGAAATCACCCAGCAGAAATAGTCGGTCTGCACGGCACAGATCGTCACACGGAGGATAACTGAGTGTAGAATTAGTCACGCGTGTCATCAGGATAAAACATGGTCGGACCGTATGTGCTTATAAAGGTGGAAAACTTACCTCTTCCGAGTAGTAGGCGCTCAGCCGCGCGCTGATGTCAGTCTGATTACCAACCAGTGGGTCACTTAGGCGATCAAATAGTACAAATCCGACCCATGTTCACGTGGTGCTGAGGTGGCGATCCCTACCCAGTAGAACTTGTATCCAGCCCCAGCTCCACGCAACTTACCTTGCTCAGTGATCCGGGTCTCGCTGAGCGCCGTAATATCGATATGGTAGCGTGTCAGTTACATCGCGACCGAGGCAGTGCGTCGTTAGTGACGCTCACTCGAGTTTTGGACAAGTAGTGTGCGCACGTTCCAGCACCCGATGCTAAGTGCTTTGCATGCAGGCATGCGATTGTATTGGTGGGCAATCGCACGCGAGGTGGTCGTTGTGCTTCCGAGGTTTGCTACTGGGACTCCGCCCGAAGCCTTTGGCTCAATAGCATGCTCCTCAAGTGGGTGGTATAGAGATTTGCTTGAGGGACTCCGCCCTGAGGCTTTGGCTCACTAGCCGGTCACCGTTTCCATTGGCTGAGGCAATAACTGACGGACCAATTACGCCTGTCGACATTGCGGCAATACGCCCTAAGCTGCATAGTGCGGTTTAACAAAGTAGTTACGCGGGCAACATGTGTTGCAGCGAACTGTGGCAACAAACGTATCGACGATTGTGCGAAAAAAATTCTTTTCGTTAGGCATTTGTAATTATGAAGAAAAACTCAAATAAACTGATTGGATAATAGGAGCTAGTTTTGAATTGGAGAAAACACGAAAACTACAATCTATTGGCATGACAGACGGCCTCATCGAGTAGTGTGCTAGTCAGCTGGAGTAGATCGCGCTGAAAAAAGTGTACAGATAAAGGCAGGCACGGTAGAGGTGACACGCTGACCGCCTGATTTGTTTACGACCAAGGGCCTGTAACAGCGTCCGTTATTTGCCCCGTTCTTCTTTCAAAACCCCACTTACGATTCCTTTGCCTGATCGAAGAGCCTTACTTGAGCGCCTCGTTTTGAGCAAGTATACATGGCATGAAAGGACTCATTTACGTAAATCTGGTGTATCGCTTCAACCACATGTTGAAGAACAAAAGTTTTAACGGTGCTTACTGCAAATGGTCGTAGCGACGCAAGAGATCGTTCAGCGCTCTGTTTGGATGAGTGCACAGTCGTGTATCCGTGCTACCTTGCACTGCAAGTGAAGGTGAATTGATATAAGATGTCTACTTTGGACCTGACCGGGCCACGAGTCTACTCTTCAAGCGTTAAGAAACCATCGGGTTAGTTTAGGCAGGTAATTTTGGGTAAGTAGCTGAGAGTGTGGGTCATTGCAACCGATAATTTTCTCCTTAACAGTTTTTAAAAGCAATGTCCCTTTTAAGGGATACGCTATTTTTGCTCTATAATTGTAAACTTTGACGAGCTCTAACAAAAGAATATTCTCCGCACAATGGTAAATATCGGATGTAAGGGGGATTGTTTCATAATGACGTCAAGCTCTACAAACTTATTCCCAGTGAAGAGAGCTCTGATTCCCAACTTACGAGGTGTGCCGTGTGCAGACCAGTGTAAGAAACTAGGGCTGTACACCCTGGCTTATCGTCGGCTGAGGGTTGACCTCCTCATGACTCACCGGATATTACATCTGGGTGATTACCCTAAGTTGAGACCACTGCTTCATCTGCGCACACCAAGCAACACACGAGAACACCGGTATAAGCTTGTCCTACCGGATTTGAAGCAGATCGCTCACCAACTCTGTTTCGAAAGCAGAGTGGTGAAGGTGTGGAACGACCTGCCGCAGCACATAGTTGAGGCAAAGTCTGTGTCGGAATTTAAGAAGTTCCTTGACAAACATCGCCGACGCAAAATATATTGAGCGGAACACAACATAACGGCGGTTCAAGCCGCTGGTGGTCATAGGTTCTAATCCTGATGGATCCGATGGATGCGCACTACTGACGACGCCTAACAGGCTGAAACTGCAGTCTAGTGCTTTACCGGGCATGTGGACGACTATCTGATTTGGAAACTGGTTGCGATGAACCTCACTTAATAACGGGTATTTGTCCATGAGTGACAATCGATGCAGCTACACAGAGCAAACGCTACTTGCTGCTTCTAACCAGTAACCAGTAATAGCCGACTGCTGTTTAACCCATAAGGTTTGCATGGTACTTATCACCACGTAAGTTAACCGAATAAATTAGAATTGGAACGAAATGTGAACGCATAATCCGAAACTTTGAATCAAACAAAAATTGTCACCAATTGCTTTCCAGGTTTGCATGTTGGAATTTGGTTCTCTTTCCTACGACAAGGAGTTGCTGGAATTAGAATGGTGGACCCCGGACAACAGCATAAATCCGATGCCATATGTGGACTTTTCCGACTACATCCCAGCCAACGACTGGTACACAGACGGTGAGAGCGAACAACACCTGCCACATGAGCAACGTACGAGACAGGTGAGCACGTCTTGATAGGCTAGTTCAAGATGTCAAGAAGTGTCACTGATATGTTTGGACAGAATTGCACTTTATTGAATACATCTAACTAATATAGCGCTAAGCGGAGCCAATGTCCAGATACGAGGTCGCGCACAGGCGTACCGCGGAGCACGTGAGCTGTCGCCTGCATGCGAAGGTCACCAGCACGAGGATGGAACGACCTTCGACTGTTTTGCCAAATTTGGGAACGGGTGCAAACTGATTGGCCAGCAAATACAAATGCGAGTCTCGCAGGCGCAGAATAGCAGCAGTGCAGCAGTACGAAGGCAGCTTTACAACACTAACCCATTAATGTTGATTCAGTCCAGCTAAGGTAAACAACTATACACTCTAGCACTAGTGACCCATACATTACCAATGAATGAAACATTTGTGTGCTTCTGGCCGTCCCAATGGGACAAAGTTCTGGTGGGTCACGTTCGTTCGAAAGAATTTCCAACGTAGCCTTAATTCATTCAGATAACACCCTTTCCCTGGTCGCAAAAACTGCTTGTGTCCAAAGCAAAGCGGTTTCCACAGTGCTATCATGTGGTATCGCGCATGTACGGCAACCGAGTTATGTCCGAAATTTGTCTCCTTGATTCAGCCATTGGCACATAACTCGATCACACAGTGGCAGTATACCGGTCACTTACGCTGAATGGATCTACGATTTTGCGGAAAAGAAACTACCTATAAATTTTGGTTGGTGGCATTAGCGATGGCTAATGACATTTATCGTTGTAGTTAGATATATGACATCATTTCCTTTCTTGTTCTGCCCATGTTTTTCTTAGTGAGCGAAAACAATACGAAATAGGAGAGTTTGCTGCCTATTTGTGCCACATTGTAAGCAAATTTCATCTCAAACTGGATGTTTTATGAACCAGATTGGATAGTGTATTTTGCAGGTGGAGTATCAGCAATTTATTGACAAGGACAGAGTAATGGTGTTCAAGACGGCCAGTTGATGGATGACTGTCCCGTTGCTGTCTTTGTTAGGTGCATCATATTGAAGACGTAGTTCGTACAGTCCTGCTGCCCAACCATTTCAACGCTCTCTTGTTAGATCGCACTTGGAGTCTGAGCAGGCGTCGACGTTGTCAGCAGGCGTCTCACAGATGCACACACACACACACTACACGAAAGCCGATGGGGAGATACAGGATAAGTGGGTTCCCGCTCTTGACCATAGTGAATGAAACACGGAGGAACAAATTTGCCCTAGCGCCGACTGCTTGCAAAATTCGGCTTTCATTGGCCCGACCGTTATGTGACTTATATCTTGTCCGGCCGTTTCAATTCTCCAGTGTTCATAAATTGCTGGTATTTTGCTGGTTTGATTTGCAAATGTCTAGTTTGAAGTGAAAATTGCATGATGATTATTGGGTGTTACTCGTCACAAAAACACTGTCCTCCATTGCCAGTTTCCAGTTTGTTTGATCGCATCAGATACAAAGAGCACACATCGAACGCAGGGCGTTTGAAGTGGGCACCGGCTACCAAAGTACGCTGGTCCAGTTGCTTCAATTCGCACCGCCAAGAACGGTGAATAAATGAGGTAGAGCACATATGGGGTGTAAAAAGGGAGAGGTAAAAAGCTGTGTCATAATTAATCGACGTGAACTGTTAACAGTTAACTGCGGGAGTGTCACTGAGGGCAAGGACACATTAGGCTTGGTAAGGGTCTTTAACCAATGTTTTGGACCATGTCAATGCTCCCAACTACGGTACGTACCAACCTAACAATATCTAGGGGTCAACTTTCACTTATATTTATGACACTACATTATCCTGTGCGCACAGATAGATGGGCGGCCATCCTAGATCTATTGTCAAAAAGTATTATACCACCTTAACACCGTCGTTTTTTGCCTATAAGTCTTTACTTTTTGGCACTCATAATTTCAATCAGCGCGAGTAACCGTTTGCGAGCTTTAAGTGACCGTTTTTATGCTCCTGGCAGTCTCTGCTTCACATATGGGACGAATTTTGGTCACAAATCTTTTTTGGTCTAGCCTTATGGCTTAAGTATTGCGTAACTATGATCTGGGGATCGAGTTCCGCTCATTGTTGGTGGTGTTTTCAACCAGAAATAAAGCGTTCACGTTATATATTTAGGTTGCACCGGAGAAGCTGTTTCGAGTGATCGGAACTCGTCCCAAATGTGTCCAACTGTGACGACCAGGAGCATAAAGAACGCTCACTCAGAGCGTTGGGACAGGCACTTCAGCGGGCACTTCTCGTCACTCGTGTTATGCGGGTACATGGTCACATGGCGGTCATAGTGAACTTGGTACATCAACAGCAAAGAATACAAGCGATGAAATTGGTTGACGATCGTATGGAGGATATGCCCTGGTCATAATAAGCGGCACAACATAGACACTCCAATCAGCTAATGGAAGGTTTCTTACAAAACACCAGCTGGCCCATCTCAGTATTACTCACACTGTATTCTCATCAGGTGTGAATAATGTTCTACAAACACCGCGGTCAAACACGAACAATCGTTCTATGTCCACATTGTGATCACGCAAGGTCTCTGATCCATGGTACATCTGCTCTGTCGTAGCGGTATGCACCTAACCTTTCACTGAGTTTATGTCCCGCCATCCCCTTTGTAAGTGACCCTCTGAAAAACCACCTAGGTCTGCTGATACGTGAAGTAACTTCCTCAATGTTGTGACCACCAGAGATGACACAACCATCAAGCTAAGTGAACCGATCAACCATTTCCAGTCGCTCTTCGGTGATAGTTAATCCGGTAGCGTGTTGGTTTTTATCGAGGAAAATTACAACATTCGGTCTTGTGTGCATGTGTGTGTGTGTGACCCAATACCTGTCGAGAAGTATGGGACATGCTGCAACTGTTAAGCGGAGTCACCCGTGGGGTCACGCATTCAATTTCGGAGGTGGAAAAACTAAACATTAATTTTTTGATCAGGATAATATTTCAGTCTTTGATATATCCTCTGCTAAGTTACAGCTAACCTCACAAAACCCTCATTCCTTGAACAGCCTAGTTGTGCACAGGGATTTACTCCGGTTGAAAGTGAACAAAGCATCTGGTCCGGATAAATTGTCTTCTGTCGTTCTCAAGGAGTGTACAGAGTACCTAGCTCAGTCGCTCGCCGCCTTATATACACACTGCTTCAAAAAGCACATGATAGCTGACAGTTGGCGGAGTGCTAAAGAAAAGAACCTACAAATATCGGCCGATCGCTTACAAGTCGGTTGCTCTGAATGACCTTTGAGAAGCGGATTCATAAAAGAATCTCAACCCAGACACATTCGAATGAATCTCATCAGTTAGTATATCGCAGCTCAAGTTCCACTTCAGATGCAGTATTATGTCTAGTACATACTGTACTTTCGTCAGGGGAAAATAAAGACAAAACCATGTGTATCTGCTTCCCGGATTTTCGCAACAATCCAAGTTAACAGTCGCAACACTCAAAACGACATTCGCTAGACACAACCACAGTGCGTTAAGGGTCATTTGCACAAATGTTCCTGAGTCCAGCACAATAAAGGGCAAGTCGGTAGATGATAGTAACCATTGACATTCCATCTGCGATGGAATTGGTATTCGGGTTTAGCCAACTGCACTACGACGAGTAGCGCGTCACCCAAATTCATTGCACTACGGCGCATCCCGATTTCTTCGAGTAACATTGAACTCAGCTGAGGAGACCGAAACAGTCCCACTCTCATCAGTTCCTCTTCGCAACTCATTGAGCGCGGTATGCATACTACAAGATATTCCTTGCAAAGGATGGTCAAAGGAAAAAGGAAACCATAGCGGGTCTTCTACGAACGGAAGCAAGAAAACCGTATTTGTTCATGGTGTTCCTGAACTACTGAGCTCTCCTGATCACAAAGCCCATATACATGACCGAGTGCAGTGGTGTTACATCCGCGCAGCACTCTCTCTCTCTCTGAACGACGTTATCGTTAAGCCATTAACGAGAATTCCTTCATCTCCAAACTACAAGGGCTGCGGTCCAAAAATACTGAAACTCGTGCTACACTCCGAAGGAATGACAAAAGTCCTGTTGCATAGCTGGTTGTAGCATCGCTTTAGGTTGCCTATCGAGATTAGGCTAAAAAGAGTAGGTTTACGGTCACTAGTTTTCAGCACTTCGTTGGTATATGCAACCACGATAAAATATTTGTCTCCACCATACTACAGAGTTTTATACAACATGACATTAGCTACACTTGTCAGGACAGGGAGACACACGAAAGAACATCTCGGTCTGGGATGCACAGTGCTACCATACAGCCTGCCTGAAATGCAAGAACCAATGACTCACGCAAAAAATGATTAGCTGCCGACGGACGAACGGTCGGCTTAAAACTAAACACGAATTTGTTGTACACCCACACACTTCTAACTACAAAAACACTATTATTTTTGTATACTAACTCTCAAGGTCTTCGTAGTAAGTTGGCCAAACTTAGAGAACGCCAGGCGTCACAACCGCGGGATCTCGTTATGATTACAGAGACCTGGTTAAGCCTTGAGCTGGCAGCTTCTGAGGTCAATTTAACTGGTGTCACTGCTTCGGAATGACAGAGCTGGAAGCGGTGGTGGAGTAATTCTGTATTACAAGGCTAACTTCTGATGTTAACTTATTGACCACAGAGAGATCCGTGCCCCAGATTCGCTTTGGTGCCGGCTATGGTTGCTGAACAAAGACACATGTCTTATTGCTGTGATTTACCGTCCACCAAACTCTGCGTGTGTAATTGACTCCAAAATAAACAACATTCATCAGGTTGCTTTGAGCAAGACATACAGTCAAATTCTCATCGCATGCGACTTCAATGGGCACGAGTTAGAAATAGCAGCAACCGATAGCAAGCAGTTCAAAGCCTGTGCACGGGAGGTGATTTCCAGCTACCCTCTGTACAACCACATGACCACTCCCACCAGATTTCGAACTGCTAACAAGTCGTCGATACTTAATCTTGTGCTCACCAACAAA